CAAGATTATGCGCAAAGTGTAAGAGAATGGCGCATCCAACGATGGGAGGGATACACAGCATAACGATGACCGGGCCCTTGAGCTTCCACTTCATGGCGACATAAGCACTCGCCGACACAGCGATGATGTGCGAAACACCAACAGGGACGTTGAATAACATCGTCTCAAAGGGATCCGACACAAATGACTTGATGATCAAAGGCCCGAAAGTCGAGATGCCATTTGAAGGTACGGAGATGCAAAAGATCATGGCAACCCAGCACCATGTCTTGAGGTCCTTCAAAGTCTCAACAACATGAGAAATTCTCCACTCGCGAGACATGACACCCATTTGGTTATTGCGAAGACGCTCGATTGCAATGATCTTGTCTTCGTCGGTGAGAAACTTGGCTTCGGTGGGTGAATCGGGCATCCAGAAGAACATGACGAAGGACACTCCTACTGTGATTGCGCCGAAGAAGAGAAAGATGATCTACTGGTGTAAGTACAGCGACATGGAAAAGAGTGAGTTTGGTATACCTGATAGGGCTTCATCTTGGAATCAATACGTGCGAGTCCATAAGTAATGAGACTCCCGAGCTGTGAAGCATTAGCTCGGGCTATCAATGAAGAACATCACACTCACCACCCACGTCAACCCATTCATACAATACCACGATCCAATTCTCAACGTCTGCTCTCTTCAAAACATTAGTAACATCTCACACCATCAACCCACCAGACATACCTTCTCCTCCACCACATCTGCGTAATCGCAATAAAGCTCGGTCCAATACTAGCTTCAAACGCACCCAGAAAGAACCTTGCAACCATCAATGTCTTGAAATTGCTCGCCCAAGTCATCAGAACAAGCGTGACTCCCCACGCCAACACCATAGCGCTCGTGAGTTTTCCGATGGGTAACTTGACTAGCGCGAGGGCGAGCGGTGGTTGCATTATTAATTGCGCGAGATACACAATACTTCCGAGCCATGAGTATTGATCGCCTTCGAGGTTGGTGTCTTCGATAAGGCCGAATATTGAGGCGTATGATAACGTTGCTTTGTCTAAAGCTTGGAGGAAGTACACTGAGAGCATGAGGGGCAGTAACGCAATGTCAATACGCCGTAGAATCCGGGCGTCGTCAGCTGGCGAAATGGTGATCTGCTCATCCGGCGAACGACCCATTTTGATGAGCAACATAGCCGCTGCATCGCGATAGTTCTCAGCTCTGACACCTTGTCCCTCCATGGTGTTGTTTTCTGGTTCATCATTGTTTGGGAGGGGTTGGTACTCTCCGCGGGACGACATGGCTGCGGCATACGAGCGGTTGAAAAACCTTGACAACATGGTTGCTCCAACCCCGACGGGCGAGTCTTTTTTGTTGACAAAGTTTGTTCTGTTTGTTTGGGTTTCTTATCGTTGGGTATCATGTAAGATGGTTTGGTGGAACGAGGAGTGACGTCGGTGTGGCTGTGGTTTAGGGAGTGTGGCCCCTGCAGGGTCTGGAGGTTATGTCGTGCTGGGCCCTGTAATTCCGACTAACTACTAAAGGCATTAAAGATCTAACGTGTGCTGAATAGCACCATTGGTCAAATAAACGCGCTGGCTCAGACCCACAGGCACTACTCAATTTAACCAGTTTATATAGTAGAATCTTATGAGAGATTGAAGTGTTCCTTTAGATCCCGTTAGTTGACTGGCAACTAAATTCCTAATATGTGACTCCCATCTGACCAGCTTGGCCCCGTAATTGCGATAGAACATATGGGAACGGAAGCATGCCACGCGCATCTTCTTGCTTGATCCTGATCCCCGGCCCTTATAACCTTTGCCCCTAGCTTGATGAACAGAGTAAATGTGGCATATATCCAAAGTATAACACGCTGTGAAAGCCTGCGTTAATGCAATCATATGCACATATATGGCGCATAAAATCGATATATAGAAGACCTAATGTAAGCTAAACCAGATATCAAAATAGCCTAGTGTAAAGCGCTTAGGGACTTAGAACTACACTCCTAGGTCAGAGATGGCTCCCTCAATATAGAAAGGCCGGGGGAAGGGAAAACAAGATGTTCATACTGCATAAAGGCCGCAGCCCCCTCCGTATAGAAGGAGCTCGAAAGGTACCATTTCATGCCCAAGTACTTAAGCATATATTCTAGCCTATAGACCTATATGCCGTATAGTAAGGGGATAAAAGCAGACACACCAAGCATTACATAGGCGCCGATCCTGACCTTCTGCTATTATAACATCCTGAACTTAGGTATGGAGATGAGAGCTGCTATGGCAGATCTGCAAAATATAACCTAACGACCTGGTTAGTATGCTTCGAAGACTTATTACCTCTTACAGCAGAGGGTATATCTAAGTGGCCTAGGTAATAAATAATAGTCTAATGAATTCTCTGCAGAAATAGTTTGCAGTTAAATATATAGTAGATCCCAGGAATAAAGGTGCCAATAGTAATAATAATAATCCCTAGTAACTCTATCTGGTGCTAGAACTATTCTACCTCATATAAATGACTTCTGATAAGATAACATATAGCGCTGAAAATTAGACAGCTCTCACCAAAATAGAAGAAGATAGTGAATATAGTAAAATCGGTTCTTATGATGTTGATGTGCTGTGGCCTATATATGGTTTGGAGAATGGCGGTCGCAAAGAGTGGTAGCAGTATAGCGCCGATTAAATAGGTATATATATTGCAGGTCTTATTATGAAAGAAGGTGAGACTTTTGATAACTTGCAAATAATCTTCTTCTAATGGGCAATAGCCGGCGAAGATATACTTGTTGTCTTGCCGCCACTCGGAAATATCGTGCCGCGTGATGTTCCGTGTTATGGGTGATAGATTGGCCATAGGCTGCTTTGCGCCGTTTGGGTTCTCAGGCTGCGCGCGGCGTTGTTTAATAGTATCTGGCCCGGTCATAATCACTGCGCGCAGTTGTTCCAGGTTGCGCTGAATCCTCTTCTGATCGGAGGAGTGATTCGGTGAAGAGATCGATGGTGCAGGAGAGGAGGAGGAGACTTGAGGCCTTGAGCATCGGCCCAGCGGAGTAGGGACACAAGGCAGCTAGGCGCGGCTCGGTTTTGTTGTAAGTGCCTGAGCGCCTTGGCACCTCACGGCGCTGCACGGAAATAGCTGGCGTCCACAAGGCCAAACTTGGCCATGTTGCTATGGTTGGTGTGGATGCTGGTCGCGTTGTAACTTTCGAGGGTAGCCGGATCCTTGGAGGTGACTCTTCTGACCCCAGAGAAGGGCAGTTCTCTAAAGAAGCATGTAACTTTGAGATCCGGCCGGCCTTCTGCTTTCTCCGTACTATGGACTAGAACTGATCTTGAACTGACTGGAGGGATTCAAGGCCACCAGTCCAACCACTGGTAAAGTCATCGATGGATGGTAAGAGAGCTGATGAGAAGAGATATGAAGTTCCACTCAAGAACCTGATCACCTTGGAATGGGAAATATCATGGACTTGATCGTACCGAAATGAAACAGGAGCTCTTCTTCAATCAAGGCCTGAGGTATCACAGCAATCTGATCAAGCAAAATAAGGCAGTTCAATTCAATATCAGGAACACAAGCGAAGAAATGCTCATATATGTTCACGTGTGGGAGCAAGGCGATTTCTCTGGGACCCAGGAAACTAGTCTTAAGGCTCACTAAATCTATCCTAAATTTACCTAAAGCTTTTCATCACTTAGGATAGAGGCCATAAGTTTAGGTTTCTTACCTCGTTTAGGTTCACAGGCCAAGTCAAGTGACCCTACATCCTCTCATCCTATGATGTCGAGGTTGGGGCATCAAGTGGATTACTCCAGGTTCGGGATCTGGGCGACTTCCGAGCCAACTACGATAACCGAAATCAGACATGGAGATTGAGAATACGACAAAGAAGACGAGATAGCATTCGGAGATATGAGCAGAGTGCAAGTGTCAAAATAGAGGGTAATTGGCCCACTGTTCACATCCTCCTTACTCCTAATCATGGATGTTCGGCAATCGAGCTCAACGTTGGCTTTGAACTCAATGCACTCTAAACAGTGCTGCCCGGCCGTTTCTCCAAAGCCGGATCATCAATATCCACCCACTTCCAACACCCTCACTATTCTGCTTGTCAATCCTTCCCGTCCCTCCCACACGAAATAAGCGCCTGCACCGTCCCGCTGCAGAAAATGCCAGCATCATACATGCTGCTTAATTCGCAACGCATTACTTCACCCAACGCCACCTCTGTTATGCCTCCATCAATGGAACACCCTTCTCAGGCTCATTCCCCAAATTCGTTGAAGACAATCGCCCGTAAGTTCAATTTACCGTTCAAATCATCCCCAATCAATGCCTGAGTTTCCAAATTGTTACTGTTTGTCGACTTATTAGTTTTGGTGAGCGAAAACGTCTGAACGAAGAGTATGAGTCTTGATCAGATGAGAGAGTGCGAGGATACGACAATTCCACGCATTGACTGAGATTTAATAGCTGGTTATATAGTTCCGTTGAATCTCTTTGTGTAGGTGTCAATGCAATGGTTCTGAGTTTTGTTTGGACTGTGGTTATGACTCCTATTAAGACATGTGAGTACATTCAAGATCGTGTTCAGATTCTGACTTGGAATAATATCACATAAATTGAAGATTATGCTTTAGAACTTCGACCAATATGGCCTATAAAATACATTGTCCTTGGTCAGTTCACCTACTCGGGGGGCATTCTAGAGGAGGCAAGAAAACTTAGCACCTTTATCCTAAGTGATAAAAATACTTACGTGAATTTAATATAACTTAGTATAATTTAGCAGGCACTTAGACCAGTTAATTTTGGCATGCTGATTTCAAGTCAGAAGTTTTATTACCCCTTGAGGGCATTCAAATGATGTGAGGCCTTTCCGCTGGAGCGGCTTCAGCGCCGCCCTTTTATAACTTCACTCGCACTCACGAAAGGCTGGACAGAACAGGGTACAGCTGCATCGGTCAATCCTACAAAGTTGGATTTGCCCCAGGATTAGGCGATGCCAGCTTCCAAGTTATCGACCTACATTGACTTGAGTGACGGGAATGCTATCGTGGCGATGGGAGTTGCGCACTTCAAAGACCCCAGTATTTCCATCACGCCTGAGAGAAGTATACTGGTTTCGCATCTGGAGGGTTTTGGAAGTACTTGGGCAGTACGGAATACAGAGTTGACGTTGAACCTACTCAATTAAACGTCACTGTTAACGGCCGTGATAAGAACATCACTGTTGTACCTACGAACGACACCAAGGTTTCGGATATTGACCCTTCGCGATAGCTCAAGGTCATCTTGCTTCGACAGTCGATTTAGCCTCCAACGGTGAGACGACTATGTACGTATCGACTGTTGATAGAGCTTTCATCACTCCCATCACCAATCATCGTCTTCGTACTGAGATGAGCAGCACCCTCAGCTACCTTTCCGAAGCAATCATCACTCTCGAGGGAATCGAGAATGCATTTGTAGCTATGGTATATCGAATGCTAGTCGCATATACCTCAGCCCGATTCATGGTCGGAGAGTTCCACGATGAAGTCAACGACTCCATCTTGTGAGTGAGAGTACTGTGGGTGCGAGGTCAGGAGAGAGGTTATCGTGAGAACACATAAGATAGAACTGTAGAAGAAAATAATTTGTCATTTAAGAAGGAAGGAGGAAAAAATCGGTATATTATATGACAAAGATCCATTACAGATGCCAGAGATCAATTGAGCGCCTTTGAGTCATCCCAGGAAATGTCTACATCTCGTGCCGGTTTGGAACTGCGCATTGACAGCCATCAATTGTTCAATGAGACCTGCAGATATTATGCACCTTATAAGTGCGGTGATTGATTCAATCACACGTTCAAAATTGCGTTTCTACGACTTAGTTCAAGTATCGCCATGGGGGATTTCTTCGTGCGCCATGGGTCAAGCAAAATGCGACGCACCTAAACTTATTCCTACATAATTCTGGTCTCTCTTCTCAGGGAGAGTGTCTAGAGGAGGCAAAAAGCCTTAGGATTCTATCCCTAAGCTATAAAAATATTTAGGTAAACCTAGCCCAAGCTTAGGGACTCTTTACTAAGTTTATTTTAGTATTATCCTCTAAAGTCCTACGTTTTGTTGCTCTCCGAGGAGTGTAAACTTGGACCCCTTTCTATGTGGAATGAAGCCCCGCGCTATCGAGTCCCTTTTCTGGGGTCTCCCTTTCTTTCATTTCTTTTGGCGTTCTGAGACATACGAATATCTGGCATGGTGTCCAATACGACAAACCACATCAATTAAATATCTCATGTCTCTAAATACCATTGATCTACAGAAAGGATGTTGATTAGTTGACTGTGAGACATGGTTTCACATCAGCCTTGCAAAGGGTTGTATTCATCCAACCTAATCCCTTGATATTTGGCTCTTTCCCTCCCTTGCCTCAAGTCCCTATTTCCTGTCCACGAGGGCAAAAATGTCTTGACCTCAATTATTCTTCCTTCTTAGCTATTGCGAGTAATCTTATACAATTTAATTCTCGCGTTGTCGCGGAGCCAGGTACACAAGATGGGTGTAGCGTCTACACTCATGTCGCGATTCTGCAGGATCTTACCACCCGTCACCATCGTCACGATATGCTTCTACTTCCTCATTAAGCTCTCCCCCTTTTCCAACGCAGTTGCATCCGATCCTGGGAGATGGAATAATCACTCCTTGGATGTTGTTGAAGAAGAAGAAGATTACACCTCGACATTCGACACGACTGCCGTCCCAACGCCTCGTCAAACCTCAGTAGCGTATATCGAAGATCTTGAAAATAAGGGCGAGATTGGAGACTTTGTTGATGACGATGAGGTTCTTCCTTTTGTTAACATTGAAGATGAGGCGGATTGGGACGAGGAGGATCTTCAGGAGATGAGTGGTGGGAAGTATGAGAACGAGACCGTTGATGATGGTGGCGACTGGTCTAGATTCGCTTACATTCAGTATGTGACAAATGAGGACTACCTTTGCAACTCGGTCATGATATTTGAGGCGTTGCATCGGTTGGGAAGCAAGGTGGATAGACTCTTGATGTATCCGCAGGAGATGCTTGACCCAGAGGCCGCGTACTCAAGCTCGCATGGTGGAAAGCTTCTAATCAGGGCAAGAGATGAGTATAATGTCACTCTTCAACCCATTGAGATCCAGCACCGCGATGGACAAGACGGTACGTTCATCACAATGTCCAACTTCACGTTGTTCCCTAACTCTATTAGAAACATGGGCAGATTCCTTCACCAAACTCCTCGCCTTCAACCAAACCCAATATGAGCGCGTCCTCTCCCTCGACTCAGACAGCACGGTCCTCCAACACATGGACGAACTCTTCGAACTCCCCCCCTGTCCCGTCGCAATGCCCCGCGCATACTGGCTCTACAACGACAACCCACCCAAGAAGATCCTCTCCTCCCAAATAATGCTAATCCAACCCGACGAGGTTGAATTCGAGCGCATCGTCCAAAAGATGAACAGCATAGGGCCAAACGACTACGACATGGAGATTGTTAACAGTTTATATCTTGACAGCGCTCTTGTCTTGCCTCACAGGAAATACGATATGCTCACGGCGGAGTTTAGAGCCAAAGACCATTCAGCGTATCTTGGTAGTGAGAGGGAGCAGTGGGATCCGAATGCTGTGCTGAACGAGGCCAAGTTTGTGCATTTTTCGGACTGGCCTGTTCCCAAGCCGTGGATTAACGATCCCGAAGTGAGACTGCAGAATCAGCCGGATTGTGCTACGAATGAGACGACCTGTGCGGAGAGGGAGATCTGGAATGGGTTTTATACGGACTTCAAGGATAACAGAGAGGTAAGTTTTGGTGTTTGTGGGTTTTTTGAACTGGGTTTACTGACAAGTTGCAGAGAGTTTGTGAGTCGTTTGGAACGCAGAAATGGATACATTGGAAGAGAATGGAGAGGAGGACTATGTGACGGTTCATGTACATATAGAGATAGCCGGGATGCTCAAGGTTGAAGGTGATTTATGAGTCGCAAAAAGGAATAAAAATGAGTATTATGAATGGTATTGACATTTTACAACTGATCTTTATGAGTGGTGCTGGTCATGATAGCATCGTGCTTGAACATACAAGCGGGAGAAGGCCAACACCAATACTGTACTTTCAATCCCATAACATGACTAAAGGATTTACTTCTAATCAGTGACAAGATCGAAAAGACGTCCTCAACTTCAGGCACCACTAAACCAAGAAAGTGTTTCCGCCTCCAAGGATAAGCACCATTGTCACCAATAAGAGCAAAAGGTGTAGCACAAGCAGGCTTCGCCACAGGGGCAACAGCCAAAACACCTCGCTCATGAGTTGTGTGAGTGAGTCTCACTATGCTTGGTGCTGGAGTTGGGACTAAAGTTAATGCTGATGGACAGCCCGCCACGGCTCTTCTTGCAGCCGGTGAACTCCCTGTTGAACACATCGCGAGTCTGGCTTTCGAACCCGATGGTGAAAGTGAGGCCTTGGACGATGAGCATTCCTACAAGCTTGATGGCCAGAGTAATCATCGGCACCACTGTCCTTCTCGGGATTGGGCTTGGACTCCCCCTCTACAAAGAAGACAGAAGGGGACAAGGATAGGATTATCCGGTCGGTAAAGCTGCTGGCGAACTGCGCAACAGGTGTCATTGCAGTTCAGAATGCCTGTGAGTGTTGTTGTTGTTGTTGTTGTAGTGATTAAGTGTGCAGTATTGTGAATGGAAAGATAGTGGTAAGCCAGTGTTTGAGACGAAAGCGATGCCCGGAATCACTGACTAAGAATCATTCCTTGTATGCTATTTCGTTGTACTTGATCACCTAATTATCTACATGGCTTGTTTACTTTTCTCTGGTAGGTAGTCTACTGTGATTTTCGAGTGAACCTTTCTCAAGGGTAGCACAGAGAAGCTCATAGAATGGGCTAAGAAACGCTACTACATTACGAAAAACGCATATGGGCAGAAGGTTCAGATTGCCAGGCTCAATGACTGAAGCTCTCGGGGCTGGGGAAGAAGGAGCTAGATTGGCAGGGCAGAGGAGGAGTAGCTTGTGAGTAACTGGCAGGATGTTGAGAGGTCTCATAGGCATGTTGAGGAAGAGATAAAGAGGAATAGGGATCTTGATGATGCGAGAAATCAAACCCAGAATAAGAGGGGGATTGTAGATGCGGATAAGCTTGAGCAGAAAGGGGATGATGAGGGTGAAGGTGAAAGTGGCGGTTGGGAGAAGGGGATTGAGAAGGGGCCGGGCAAAAGCGAAGGTAACTTACTCTAATCAGGGTCGCGGAAGCGATTTGATCATACCTGTTGGTATGCCACTTTCGACTAATGTATGTAAGGTGTGAGAAGAGAAACGGGATTTAATCAATTATGTTGAAGTGAAAAGGAGTGACTTTTACTATTGCTACTTCATCCTCCGCAGCCCAGTATCAACTTGTCCGTCACCCTTCTCCTCCATCACTATCCTCCATTTACATTCCCTTCTTCACCCTCTCAACCTCCTGAACCTTCGCAAAAGCCCTCTTCGTCTGAACAACACTATGAACCACACAAACCGTCGGAATAACAATCCAAATCGCATTACAGAAAACATAATACATGTAAAAGTAAAACTGCTCCGGGCGACAGTACACAATGCTATGAACGATATCGTTGAAGTAGCAAGTACCAAAGTACAACAAATCGCCGTAGAGTTGACCAACGCTGATGATCAGCTGGATAGGGTGTCGGAGGGGATGTTGCTTGACGATGCTCCATGCGCAAAAGAACGACATTGGACCCCAGAGGAAGGCGGTTATGGCTTCCATGGGGACGAGGAAGGAGTCTTGAGTGAGGTAGCGTGAGTCTGAGAGGGAGTATTCTTTCCAGAGCTGGGCGAAGAGGAATTGTCTGTTGGAGATGTCGACGAAATTGACGACGTAGTAACCTGATCCATTAGCACCACTACCAACCCGATATTAGAAGGGGGAGTGCATACCCTCGAAGAACAAATGGATGCATCCGCAGAGAGCAAACCACAGTGTCATGAATATCTCCGTCTTTGATGGTTTTCGACGAGATTGTTGGATCAAGGACAGTGTTACTCCGAGAATGGCACTTGCGCCGACGACGAAGGATGCTACGAGAGCGCGAGAGGATAGCGTGTTGGCGGCATATTGAGGAAGGGCTGCGTTCAATGGCCAGAATGGGTGAAGGGGGATTTTCGCTGTTGCGTTGACGCTTTCGATGAGAGTGTCCATTGTGTCTGTGTCTGCTGCGCAAGAAGTGAAGTCAAAGTGGAAGTGCGAGCAGCTGAAATGTTTATTGTTGTTTGTAAGACGAAGCTGAGTACGCCTCTTTTAAATACTCCAATCAACTCAGTCTGCAATTTACTCAAACTGATTCACCACAGCCTTGTTCCTTCCTCCACCCAAACATCTTACACCGTTTACCCGCTTGGCACATCGGAAACTCAAGATCCGCCATCGAACCATTTCCATCCCCACGACAGAAGGATTATCTCCAAACTCTCCCATTGGCCAATCCTGAATAATATCGGAAAAATAAATGGGAAGCGGGAATCTCGGGGTCCGTTTGGTGATCTTGGGTATTTCAGATGCGAATACGAACGCGTCACTCGAATACGAAAATCGATGTACGCTGTTGTGATTACTACTGGCTCATCTTCTTATCCAAACACCACAGTCTCGGATTTCACTTCTCCAAAACTCCCGATATCATCGCCTGAACTCATTATAAGCGATAACTCAACCCTCTTCTCAACTGCATCCACCATAACCAACGTCTCTCTCATTCTCATCATCTCAGGAACCCTCTCTATACCCGCCCAGCTCGTCCTCGCAGGAATATCCTCCGTCTCCGCCCACGCCTCCCAAGGAACATCTTCCATAGCTTCTAACGGAGAAGCTAAATCGCTATCAAAGTACTTCTGTCCTTCAATTTCCATTATTCGTTGGCCCACTGCTGCCGCACCGTCGCTGTGCCACATCCCTTCTTGTCGCTTGATCTTGTAGAGAAAACTAATTGCGCGGCGTCGGAGCCAGGGATGGCGACAGCGCTGGGCGACCATGAAGGCGGGAACGATGAAGCCTGATTCTAGGGAGAGGGGGGATTGGACTTGGGATGGTGGTGTGTTGGACCAGAGTGTTTCTGCGAGTGTGAGGATGCGTTCGTAGTGGCCTAGGAATCTGTCCCATCGTGTTTCTGGGCCGAAAGCGCCTCCTGATAGGAACATGCGTAACATGGTGTGGTACAACCTGATGGACACGGCGCCTGTTTCGTCGTGGGGGTTTGGATGCTTCTTCTCGAACTGGGCCATCTTGTACTCCCAAGAGCTAAGATCCTTCATTGTGAGATGCAGCATCGCGAGGTCTTTTGCTGCACCCTCTTCATCTCCTGCTACCGTCGTCTCAGACAACATCATGAGTCTTCTCATCATTCCAAACAACGCATTCCCAGCCTGGCCATAGCTCTCTATCTCTGCGGTCTTCATGTACTCGTCAATCCACACCGTTCTCGGCGCCAGCTTATAAGGATACGGCGCTGATGAATCAGAGAATGTCATGGCCATCAAGTCCAACCTCGTCAATATCTCTGCGGCACCCGACGTCTCGGAACTATGTCCTGCTTGACTTAGCAACCGATGGCCAGCCATGATGTGAACTTGACTTTCGGACCATCGACCCATCATGTTTGTAACTGATAAAAGCGCAAGACTCAATGCAAGCAGTTGTGTTGGATCCTTCACATCTCGAGCACACGTTATCGCACGGCCATAGTTCTCATTTGCCTGCGACCATAGTTTCTCACCGCTGTGATATCCATGACCTTGCCAGAACAGCTCATGTCGTTGATGAAGCGCCCCCAGAGCAAGGGTAGCGTGCCATACTGCTGGTTCAGAATGCGCCAGCTGGAGTAACTCCCTTGTCCAGAATTGCGATGGTATAAACGATGCAGTCGATGGAGCAGTTAATGTACGAAATACATCGAACAGCGTTAGATTCGTCGGCGTCGCTGAACGACTTCTATCCCGTGGATACTGAGATAAAGCTTGTGAGATCGGTCCAATCACTGACATTTGCCGAGCTGCCTCTGCAAGTTGACGTCGTGTAACCGTTGAGTCCTCAGGTAGATATCCATCGCATTGACGTTTAGAATTTAAGCATCTTTGACACGAAGGTTTCGCCAAGTCGCATTTTACTCGACGAATGCTGCTCTTATTAGTCAAACCCTCACGCTACCACGAAATACCAAGACTTACCGACATGTAATGCACCCATTCCCTGCTTTTCTTGGCATGATTTTAGTAACTGGCTCAGATTATTGTAGAGAATGAGATTACAGGCTGGGCTGACGCATTTGTATATATTTCATCATCAGCACAGCCACGCATCGCCGTGATGTGGGCTATGAACCAGGATCCGTGACATTGACTCACCGTTATGCGTCGTCAGATTTAAGGCTATGTTGTGGCTTTTTAAGCATAAGTGCATTGTGAAGGTTTCAAGATAACGCTTTAGACTTGAAATCCTTGCATCAAGAACCGGAAATAGACGTTTTGAGGAGCCTGCTAAGCTGATAAAGTTATCCTGAATTAGCCTCAAATCTCGATTGTTTTGATCACTGGATATTATAGTCCCAAGTATTCTCCCGTTTTCTTTGAAGTGACGGTGATCTACGTCGCATGTTGGCTCAGCCCTACCCGTCCGTAGCAGGGATCTACCATCTTCAAATGAACCCGAACTAACCACAGCGCTCCATTGTCAACAGATCCAATCACACTAACACAAAGCTTCGATTCTAATGCAATTCATCATTCATAAATGGGTATCAAGTTCTATAATTCACTCTCCTTCTCTTTTTTCTTCGCCCTCAAAACAGCCGCGTGCTGCTTCGTATGAAACTTCACATCATCCGGATACAGCGGATTCCACACAGTATTACACACCTTACACTCCGAAAACGCTGCTTGTGACGATAAGTTCAGTGTCGTTTGTACTGTCGGTGTCTTTGCTTTCCCCCTCTTTCCTGGTTTTATATCGCTTGTGCTCGATTCACGCTGTAAAGAGTTCTCCCGAGCAGTTGGTCGAGCGGATTTGGTGCCGGAGTCTTCGGCTTCTGTGTCCTCGCCTTGTGTATCATCTCCTGTGTTCTCGTCGTCTAGTAATGGTGTTGATGTGCCGCGGAAGCGTAGTAGGCGTGGTTTCTTTCGCAATTCTATCTTTGGTGGTTGCGGTGGTGAGGATGGGGGTGTGGTTTCGGGTTGAGGCTCGTCACTCTTTGGGCTGGAGGTAACTGTAGACGATGGAGGTACAGGTTTGAAGAAGTTCAAGATTGATCCCTTCTTGACTGGCTCGGTAGTGGGTTTGTTCGTTGTTGTCGATTCAAGTGTGTTCTTCGCCTCTTCCGTGACCTTCTCCAGCGGCGCCGTGTCTGTGCCTTTGGATGCTGGTTCAGAAGCTGTTACTTCTGTTGATACCCTTCGTTTCTTGGTGTTTGGCTCTTTCGGTGAGTCGTCCCGAATGCTTCGTTTCCCATATGTTCGTAATGGTTTGACGCGCGATCGCGGTACCGATGGCGCTGGACTTGCACACCTGATTGAGTCAGTACATTTCCCTTGGTACGATCAAAGCTCGAGGATCATACATTATGGGGGTTTGCCCTTCAATTAAATGTCATGCTGCCCAACATGAATCCTAATCCGTGTTGCTGTCGCGTGGTGATGCACGTAAACACGTCGCACTGCCAATGCGTATGGAATGTCCGCAGGAGAAGGGAATTTTATGTACAATGGAGACGACTTGGGAAAGAACGAAAGAAAGGGACTAATAAATAAACAATAGATGCGGCCTTGACTTCGAGGTTGAGGCTTGCTGAGGAGAGAAAACAGTGAAAGTGATAGATGCCCCACTGGACTGGGAAGACGCGTTGAGACGCGCCTGGCGCGCAGTCACATGGGTCTCGAGCCATGATATCACCACCATCATGGCTGCTACGCAATGCCCGTGCTTTTGCTCGAATCATGATCATGATTTTATCCAGGTAAGATTATGGCCATATCGAATTTGTCAATTGCTGTGAAGAAGCCTCGATATCGATGTGAAGCGAATATCGCATTGCCAGGTGTGAAGCTGGTGTCCTCATTCTCTTCCAATTAAATATTATGATATTACGGTATATGCTTGGATCATGTCTCGACCTTCGCTTCTGTCTTTCGTTTCCTCACTCCATCTTCCGTTCTATCCTTCTCCTTGATCAAAACACTCTTCTCATCCTCATCCTTCCCTAGTACCCAACTCTCAACTACCTCCCTAACCTCCTTAACTTTCCCATGCTTCTTCCTCCCCTGGTCCATCTTCCAAATATACGCATTATACACCACAACCTCCGCAATAGCAACAAGAATACTCCCTCCCATCGTCAGAAACATCCGTGCCGGCAAACTCCACCACCGAGCTGTAACCCATAATGTTCCTGCGACGCCGGCGATACTGACGAGGAAGTTGATGATCAGCGTGACTTGCTTGTGCACTTCTTCCATCGCCATGTCGTCGTCGCCGAGGTCTGCGGAGGATGTTGGTCGATTTGCGGCGGCGAAGGCGGCGGCGCTGGAGGGGAAGTGGTCTTTGAAGGTTTCGTGTTGGGGAGGTGGGTTTATCATTCGTTCGTAGGTGCGGGCTTCTTCTTCGCGGCGGAGACGGGCCATTAGAGCTTTGTATTCGGGGGACTACAGTGGTCAGTATGAGGAACGAAGAAGAGGAGATCTGGGATGACTTACGGGTTCGGGTTTGGGAGGCGGAGGAGGGATGTAGACTGATGCGCCGCGAAGAAGTTGTTCGAGGGTGAAGTATGAGTTGCCTTGAGCTTTCAGTTGCTTCCACAGATCAACTATTTGGCCATGCGATATGGGATTTCCAAGTTTCGGGTCGTCTAAAGTAGGTTCTTTGGTGGGTTGTTGTGATTCTTGTTCCTCTGTTCCGTCATGATCTTCGATTTGTGGTGTTTCTGTAGCTTCGACAATCGACAACGCCTCCAGAATAGAGGACGTCATTGTGAGTAGCACCATGTTGTTCTGTAGCACTTCTTATGCAAGTTATCGTGTTCAAACAACCGGTACAAGCTCAATAGTGGTAAAGTCGTGGTGAGCTGTCGTTGATGCTTAATTGAAACGTATCAAAGGCCAAAGCTTGATCAACAGGCATCTATTTCCAGGCCAGTTCCGTAGCGATTCATCCGCTGACGCTTAGCTCAACGGCCCCATACCCAGTCCGTCCAATCACATTCCGTCTCTTGACGGCCTGTTATCGGCTGCCCGCCGAACGGACCCGCAAACCCCCCGGCTTAGCAGAACACAGCTAGAGCTGGAAAAGTTTAGAGAATCGGATCAATCGAGAATCCAGCAGCCATCGAACAAAATTTCCCTCGCCATTGACGATCTCGAACTACCACCGCCTACGAACGTCCCGGACAAGACGATATAATTAAACGAATGCCGTTATAACACTCGATTTATTCACCGTCTGGGAATTATCCATAAAGGTCCGCTACGATGCTCCGTCCGGGGGCCTCGGTGGTGCGCGGCACTATGAACAGACAGGCCTTGTGGACGAGGACAAGCGCTGCTGCTCCGGCTTGCGCTCTGTGCAGACAATTGACCGTCAGTCGATCTCCCTCGAGGATACACAGCGCTTCGTTGCATACTAGTCCTCGAAGGGACTCAGCCTGGGGTGCGGCTGTTCAAGTCGCTTCCAACGTTGTAAGCAATGTCGTTAAGAAGGCTTCCAAGGATGCAATGCATGTCGATCCTCTGCGGACTGTCGCCAAAGAGATGAAGTTCCTCACGGGCAACATTCGAAAACTCCTCGGTTCTGGTCATCCTTCGCTTGACCGTGCTGCCAAATATTATACCCAGGCTGAGGGCAAGCATGTCAGACCATTGATCGTTCTCCTCATGAGCAGAGCTACATATCTCTGCCCAAAGACTCCTCCTACGGCTCCTATAGTTACTCACCGTGGCGTCGACACTTCGATATCGCCAGCTCAGATCCTCGCCGATGTGAACCCCTCTGCTCAGCCTCTATCATCTCTCGAACAAGAAGTCCCCGATGCAAACTCCGATATTCTTCCCAGCCAGCGACGGCTTGCCGAAATCACGGAGCTGATCCACACGGCTTCTCTCCTTCACGACGACGTTATCGATCACTCTATTTCTCGACGTGGTTCGCCCTCGGCAAATTTGGAGTTTGGCAACAAGATGGCTGTTCTGGCTGGTGATTTCTTGCTAGGCAGGGCATCTGTTGCGCTGGCTCGTCTTCGAAACCCAGAGGTTGTCGAGCTGCTGGCTACTGTTATTGCTAACCTCGTGGAGGGCGAGTTCATGCAGCTTAAGAACACGGAGCGGGACGAGAGGAATCCCAAGTGGTCGGAGGAGACTGTCACATACTACCTGCAAAAGACGTACCTCAAGACTGCATCGCTTATCTCAAAGTCTTGCCGAGCTGCCGCTTTGCTGGGTAACACGGATGCTGTGACAGTCGATGCAGCTTACTCGTATGGACGAAACCTGGGATTGGCTTTCCAGTTGGTAGACGACCTTTTGGATTATACACAGAGCGGATCGGATCTGGGTAAGCCTGCGGGGGCAGATTTGGAGCTGGGACTCGCGACGGCACCACTGCTATTTGCTTGGAAGCAGATGCCGGAACTCGGAGCCCTCGTTGGCCGCAAGTTTGCCCAGGAGGGTGACGTACAAAGGGTAAGTTGGCTGCATTCACTCTTTGTCACCCGACGAATCACATCTGTTGGAGATAATCCATGCTAACAACGGCACAGGCACGTGAGTTGGTTCTTCAGAGCGACGGTATTGAGCAGACGAGGGCTCTCGCGCAAGAATACGTGGATAAAGCTATTGCCTCGATTGCGGAATTCCCCGAGAGTGAGGCTAAGGACGGATTGATTGAGATGGCGCATAAGTCGCTCAAGCGACAGAAGTAACGGACATAACTTACAGGGAGGGAAAGATGAAAAAGGCGGGATATACGCCGTGTACGAATATCGCATCACATCGCATCACATTTATTTTTTTCGTGACGGAGGACGAGAGAAAAAGCAACATTTTGGTCAAAAAGTCATGGGAGGGTTTTTGGTCAGCTGGGGCATGGCGGTGTACTGTATGATTGTGCTTAGACTCCCTTTGTTACAGAACGAGAACGTCTAGATGGGACAGGAAAGTGATGCATGTATGATTATACTGTTCTTACTATTTACTGTACTTAACGTGTCATAAGAGGGCGTGAGCTTGGCAAGGGAGCTTTAGACTTTGGTAACCTCGGGTACGGAGGATGTGTGTATGCTGAACTTGATGTTTTGATCGAGTAATACCCATGTAATACTCGCTGTGATGATGGAGTGTTGCCGAATTAGGTGATCGAGTAATCCCCAGTTAGATCATGATCAATGCACCTCCGCGGGGGCAACAACAACACCACGACGATGGGCTTTTGATCGAGTAATGAAAACGTGTTCTGCAGTCATTCGGCCCTCAACACGAGAACACACCTGCTGACTGTTCTTCTCGTAGACCCCGAATAGCCTCAGTGCACCAAGAAAAGCCATAAAAACCCGAAAACTAACGAATACATCCGAAGCCGCACCGTTGGGAACTTACCTATCCCGCGATGGCATTACTCGATGGTTACTCGATTCAATCACCATCGGCGTGAAGGGTTCAGTGTCTGATTGGCCAGGCGGACGTCGGCAGTGTCCGATGGACCCTGAAATTCTGGATTTTTCGAGGCTCGATAAGCTAAGCTTTTCTGTAAGTGGGACCTGAAAGCCGCAACGGGGATCAGGAACAGCAAACTGGAACTTGAGGTTTTGATCGAATAATGAAATATGTACGATATTTCCCCGAGCCGAGAAATCTCGATAAGAGCGAGGCCATTCCCGGATTCTGGGGGTGGCTTTTTCTTCCCTCTTCCCCTTCTTTTCTGTAGAGCAACACTCGTTGAACCAATTGTCTTGTCCTCTTTGATAAGGAAATTCTCCGATCACTCGATCTTAGCCTGCGCTCTTATCTTTATCTGCGCCGTCCTCATCTGACGTTTGTTCTTATCTTTGAAGCCAACACAACCCCACCAATCCCGTGGTCAGCCCCTCCAACAGGTGTAGAGATAAGGGATAAGAGAAGACCTCGGCGAGAAGCACGAGGACGAAAAGGGATAGAAACTAGGATTCCCCGGATTTTTTGATAAGCTGTAGCTTTATCTTTTTTGTTTGAGATTGAGTTTCGTTCTCTTTTTTTCTTTTCTTTATTCCTCCCCTGTTTGGTTCAGCAACGCTGTTTTTGCCCATCATGACAACTTCAAACGCTGAGCAATACCCTGAGGGCCCTCTCTCCGTCCTCGTATCCTCTCGAGTAGTCGTCACTCTCCCCGATGACTCTCTCGCCATCACTCCTGCTTCCATTGTCGTCAGCCCCATCACCGGAAAGATCATCTCTGTCATCCCCGAAGTCCTCCCCCCAACAAGCTTCCCTGCTGGTACAGAGTACGTCGACCATACTCCTAAGCTTCTCCTGCCCGGTCTCGTCGACGCTCATGTTCACTTGAACGAGCCTGGTCGTACGGAGTGGGAGGGCTTCTGGACTGGTACCCGTGCTGCTGCTAGCGGTGGTGTCACTACCGTTGTTGATATGCCGCTGAATGCTATTCCTCCTACGACCACTCTTAGTGGGTTTGAGGAGAAGTTGAGGGCGAGTCGGGGACAGTGCTGGGTTGATGTTGGATTTTATGGCGGTGTTATTCCTGGTAATGCTGATGAGCTGAGACCTCTTGTTGAAGCTGGTGTTCGAGGATTTAAAGGATTCTTGATCGAGTCTGGTGTAAGTTTCCTGTTTTGTAAGTTGAGTCGCAAGCTGACATTCATAGGTTGATGAGTTCCCTGCCGTGTCTTCCAAAGACATCGCCCTCGCCATGGAGACTCTCAAGGACAGCCCTACCACTCTCATGTTCCACGCCGAAATGATCCCTCCCATTACTCAATCCGTCGGCGATGACGTTCAGACCTCAGAGGCTCCGCTCGCTCCCACCGGTGAACTCACCGCATACAAGACCTTCCTCGAATCTCGACCCCCTGCTTTCGAAACATATGCCATCGAGGAGATTCTCAGCCAAGCACACATTGCCCCCTCGCTACACCTTCACATCGTTCACCTGTCTGCTACCCAGTGCATTCCTCTCCTCAAGGCAGCTCGCAAGGCAGGCATCAACATTACAGCTGAGACTTGCTTCCACTACCTCGGCCTTACAGCTGAGGAGATCGAGAAGGGCGACACTCGACACAAGTGCTGTCCTCCTATTCGCGAGGGAAAGAACCGCGATGGTCTTTGGGAAGAGCTCGTCGCTGAGGACTCATGCATCAAGACTGTTGTGTCGGATCACTCACCCTGCACACCCCAGCTCAAGCTCCTCCCTCAGCATCTCGACACCGACCGACCCAACATCCCCCACAATGACTCAGGCATCGACGTAACACACTCTGAAGCCCAGAACGCCGAAAAGGAACGCGGTGATTTCTTCGCAGCCTGGGGCGGCATCTCCTCAGTCGGTCTTGGTCTCCCCATCCTTCACACCGCAGCCAAGAAGCGCAGCGCCTTCTCCAAGACACCCAGCATCACCGACATTGTTCGTCTTTGCTGCCAAGCCACAGCCGCCCAAGTCGGTCTTTCGCATCGCAAGGGCGCTATCAGAGTCGGCATGGATGCAGATATCTGTGTCTTCGACGATGCAGACGAGTGGACGTTTTCACAGGGCGATATGCGATGGAAGAACCGCTGTTCACCGTGGGAAGGCCATCAATTCACTGGTCGTGTGAAGGAGACTTGGCTGCGTGGTAACAAGGTTTTTGAGCTTGGAGCGGCCAACTCTGGGTTTGTGGTTGGCAAGCCTTTGGGCGAGAGCATCACTGAGAAGCGAACATTTTGAAATGATTTGATGATGAGATAGCATTTTGGGCGTTGGCGGATAGAATTGTATTTTATTATCATCTATGTCTTGGGTTTGTGTTTTTCTTATCGAATAGCATGAGTAATGAGATTGAAGATTGATGAGATTGTGGCGTCATTGGATTGTCTTTGATGTGCATGTGAGCTTTTGATGTGTCTTGAGCGTAGCACGAAGAAAGATGATTTGGAGAAATTGTGGGGTTGACGATGCATTTTGAGATTTGGTGTGAGGCATTTGGAGGTTCTCCTCCGATCTATTGAAGGTCGTTATTTATTATTATTGTTCTATTCTTCATGCTTCTAGTCTAGTCAATTGGCGGAATGAGACGAATCGAGACCTCGATCTAGATGAGCAATATTCGTATTAATTTGAGATATTGAACGGGCTCCTTGACTACCTCTCTTAGCTTCATCCCCTCGTTCAATTTCTTGACCTTGAGTCATTTGCCCCCAGGCAATTCCATTCCACAGCATCATTCGCATTGTTCAACTCATGATTCTTATTAGCTACCCCGTAAAACACTCTTAAACGGATAAGATTACCGTATCATCATGCTATACGAAATAAACCATGTCTCGCGAAAACCGTTAAGAGCTCGCTTAAGTCGCATCGAATCTTAAGAAACCTCGGCTTAGGCGAAAGAGACGGTTGCATCGTTTCGCAGCCGAAGTGGACGCCAAGCGCTAGACATGTTCTCTTTGGGACATGTTAGCGAAAGTTCTTTCCAGGGATCATGGGAGTGATAAGCGAGGTGTAAGCGGCATTGATCATGAAGGTTAGACACCAGGTGAGATTGACTTTCTGAGGGGTTCATTGGCGACTACTGTGCTTATTGTTGAAGGAGTCTTACACAGTCATCCTCTATGACAGTGAGATATAGTTTGGTGTTGTTAGTATAAAGAAGCATGTGAATTGACCTCCCTCTTCAATCCATCCTTGCTCGGAACTGACCAACTCCGAAATATCAACCTTCTCCACGTCAGCAACAATGCACCCTCCACCAACACAATTCCACAAATCACACGCATCGCAAGCCCATCTCCTTCTCGATCAATTCTTTCGGCCTAGATCCTTGCCCCCGCAACCTCGCTTCCATTCCCCGATCTCCACACCCATCAAAAACCTCATCCGACTCTAGAACAAACCCAGCGAATCAGGCGCTCTTCTCGGGTATTAACCTTGGAAGCTCGTTTATGTATACAGACTTGACCATGAATTACCTCTTTGGGACGAGGACCGTTGGGTCTTATGCAGTGGGATCTCTCGTGGAGTGGTGATTGTCGGATTTCGCTTCTTGTTCCTCTTTTTAAGGCTATTATACTGGGCGTCATAGATTTAAACCAGCCTGAATATTCTGGATAATAAGAACGAGCTTACTGATATAACTGCTCTTGATGCTATAATGTCCCGGGCTTGGACCAACAGATAACATTTGGCCTTCGATCGCGCTTACGACAAACTGCAATCATGTCGCATCATGATCCCGACGTTGAGAAGATTGACAGAACCAGTTCGCCGGATCTTTCGATAGATCCTGGTATTCACCATCTTTCCGGGGGCCATCTTTCTCTCGACGATGTTCAAGCTGTTCATGTTCAACTTCACAACTTGGCCGTATCAGTTGACACAGCACCGTCATGGCTTGCTCCCTCGACATACGGAGATTTGTTCTCCTCAAAGTTCAGCACCGCTCCAAAGATGAAGCCGTTACTCAACGCCGTAAACGCCGATCTTCAACCTGGAACGTTAACGGCTATTATTGGAGGCAGTGGCTC